AGATCTTTCCCCAGATCTTCTTCCAGATCTTCCCCCAGATCTCCCCCCAGATCTTTCCTTCAGATCTTCCTCCATATCTTTCCAGATCTTCCCCCAAATCTTCGCTTGGATGTCTTCGCCCAGATCTTCCCCCAGACCTTCCCCCCAGATCTTCACCCAGATCTTCTTCCAGATCTTCCCCGCGCGTCCTTCTCCAGATTTCCCCCAGATCTCCCCCCAGATCTTCCCCCAGATCTTCCTCCAGATCATCCCCCGGACTCTTCCCCGGCATGCTCCCCCAGATCTTTCCCCAGATTTTCCCCCAGATCTTCCCCCAGATCTTCTTCCAGATTTTTCCCCAAATCTCCCCCCACATCTTTCCCAGATCTTCCCCCAGACCTTCCCCCAGATCTCCTCCCAGATCTTCCTCTAGATCCTTAAATCTGTCCCCAGATCTTACCCCAGATCTTCCTCCAGATCTTCCCCCAGATCTCCCCCCAGATCTTTCCCCAGACCTTCCTCCAGATTTTCCCCCAGATCTTCTCCCATATCTTTCCCCAGATCTTCCCCAGATGTTCCCCCAAATCTCCCTTCAGATCTTCCTCCAGCTCTTCCCCCCAGATCTTCCCCCCAGATCTTACCCCAGATCTTCCTCCAGATGTTCCTCCAGATCTTCGCCCAGATCTTCCACCAGATATTACCTCTGATTGTCTCCCAGATCTTCCCCCAAATCTCTCCCCGAATGTATCCCAAGATCATCCGCCAGATCTTCTCCCAGATCTTCCTCCAAATCGTCACCCAGATCTTTCCTCTGAGCTTTCCCGATGTTGTCCCGCAGAGCTTTTTCTATGTTCCCCCAATATATTCACCCAGATATTGATTCAGATCTTCCCCCAGATCTTCCTCCAGATCGTCCTCCAGATCTTCACCCAGATCTTCCTCCAGATGTTTCCCAATATCTTCTCCCTTAGATCTTTCTCCAGATCTTCCCGAGATCTTCCCGCAAACCTTGCTGCAGATTTGCGACGCACTACGCCGCAAATCTCTCTCAGCACATTCCCCAGATTTTCGCCCAGATCTTCCACCAGATCTTCCCTCAGATGTCCCTCCACATCATCCTCCAGACTCCCGTCAAATATTATACCCGAGATGTTCCATCAGATCTCCCCCAGATCTTCCGCCAAACATTCCTCCAGATTTGTCACTTTGCAACCTCGCCAAATCTTCCATTGGACACTCCCCAGATCTCCCGACAGATCTTCCCCCAGATCTTTCCCCAGCTGTTCTAGGGCGATCCTTGTTTTGTTTCATGCCGCGTCGCGGATCCAGTTCTTGTTTTTAAACTTCCTTGTTTTGTTCTCTGCCTCGCTTCGGGGCTGCGATCTCTACGCGACAACCTAGAATTTTACATTCCTTGTTCTTAGAATTCATTGTTTTTTCAACCTCCCTGCATGCTGCTGATAATGATGCTGATGCTGATGATGCTGATGATGATGCTGCTACTGATGATGATGCTGATGATGATGCTGATGCTGATGCTGATGCTGCTGATGAGGGTTATGATGATGCTGATGCTGACGATGATGATGATGACGACGATGCTGCTGATGATGGTGATGAGGAGGATGATGACGAGGATCATGATGATGATGCTGATGATGATGCTGATGACGATGATGAGATGCCGAACCTGATGATGATGATGTTGATGGTGGTGGTGATGATGCTCATGATTATGATGATGCTGATAGAGATGATGACGATGCTGATGCTGCTGATGATGATGATGGAGAGGTGCTCATGGTGATGACGACGATGATGATGATGATGACGGTGGTGCTGATGATGATGACGATGCTGATTGTGATAGTGATGATGCTGTTGATGATGATGCTGATAATGATGGCGATGATGCTGATGCTGCTGCTGATGATGCTGGCGATGGTGATGGCGATGCTGCTGATGATGATGCCGATGAAGATGCTGATGCTAATAATGCTGATGATGCTGATGATGTTGATATTGCTGACGGCGATGCCGATGGCGATATCGATGACACTGACGATGATGCCGATGACGATACCGGTGACACTGAGAATGATGATGATGATGATGCTGATACAGATGTTGAGTATGACACTATTTTCGATGCTGGTAAGGATGATGATGATGATGATGATGATGATGATGATGATGATGATGATGATGATGTTGACGATGCTGATTGTTATGTTGATGATCGAGATGCTGATTACGATGAGGATGCTGATGATGGTGATGACGGTTATGATGACGATGTAGATGCTGATGCTGATGATGACGATTATGTAGATTTCGACAGTCGTGATGATGATGATGATGATGATGATGATGATGATGATGTTGGTGATGATGCAAACGATGACGATGATGACAATACTGACGATGCCGATGCTGCTGCTGCTCCTGATGATGCCGATGATGATAATGGTGATGATGCTGATGAGGTAAGGATGATGATGATGCTGATGGTGATGGTGAT